CCATGTGAAGCGACCCAGCGCTCAACCAAAGCGCGCGTTACGGTGTCCGCGGATACGTCGGGTATAGGTACTGCCTCGGGCCAACGGGTGTATCGGTCGATCATGGTCAAAACGTAGACCATTCCTCTGGATGGTGCCAAGGGTCCAACTATGTCGAGATGGACATGGGCAAAGCGAGCTGAGACTTGCGGAAAACGACCAAGCGGAGCGGATACGTGCCGCTGAATCTTGGCCTGCTGACACGCTAGACAACCGCGTGCCCAGCGCTTAAGATCGCGTTGCATTCCGGGCCAAACGTATCTCTCGGATATGAGCTTGATCGTGGCTCGGATGCCTGGATGAGCGATGTTATGAAGGGTGTCAAAAACTAGACGTCGAAAGGTTTCTGGAACGACGGGTCGAGGTCGTCCAGTAGAAGTATCGCACAAGATTGTGCCATCAGATGACGGCAGTGGATGCGGTGTGATTTGTAGCGAAGAATCTTGTTTGACGTTCTGACAGTCGGTGTCGTTTAGTTGCGCGGTAGCCATGGCAGATAAGTCGATTGCCTGGCCAGCGGTGTGGATTGCGGAGACGCGCGAAAGGGCGTCAGCAACTACGTTATTCTGACCAGAAATGTGTCGGAGGTCAGTAGAAAATTGAGCCACGAAATCCAGCTGACGAACCTCACGTGGTGAGTGTCGAGCTGATTGATTTCGAAAGGCGTAAATAAGCGGTTTATGATCGGTGAAGATAACGAACGAAGTACCTTCTAAGACGTGCCTGAAATGTCGAACGGTAGAATAAACTGCCAGCAGTTCGCGGCTGAACGTGCTGTACTTGGCTTCTGCCGGTTGTAAGCGTCGGGAGTAGAAAGCGAGTGGCTTCCAGCATCCCGCAGTGAATTGCTGCAGGAGGGCGCCAATGGCGGTGTCCGATGCATCGACTGCAATGCTGAGTGGAGCCTTCGGGTCAAAATGGTGAAGCATAACAGCTTCGGCCAAGGCCTCTTTGCAGGCGTTGAAGGCTTCGGTTGCAGCGGGCATCAATTCGACATTGCCGTTCTTGCGTCCACGAAGTAAGTCGGTCAATGGACTGAGCAAGTCGGCACAACGTGGCAGAAATCGACGGAAGTAGTTGATCATCCCACTAAAACGGCGGATGGCGGCCAAAGTAGTCGGAAGGGGAAAGTCCTTAATAGCGCTGACTCGGTCTTCGAGCGGCCGTATGCCATGCTGGTCAATTCGATGACCAAGAAATTCGATAGATGGTTGCTGGAAGATGCATTTGTCAGCGTTGACCGTAATGCTATTAGAAGCTAACCTCTCGAAAAGCATTTTGAGGTGCTTCGCGTGCTGTTCTTCGGAAGAACTAGCTACTAAGATGTCGTCTATATAAGGATAAACAAAGTCGAGACCTCTGGTGACAGAGTCTATGAAGCACTGAAAAGTTTGAGCTGCGTTACGAAGACCGAAGGGCATTCGCAAGAATTCAAAAAGTCCGAAAGGCGTGATGACTGCGGTTTTCGGAATGTCACCCTCGGCTACAGGGATCTGGTGGTAAGCGCGAACCAGATCGATCTTCGAGAACACACGGGCGCCACGTAGGCTAGCCGTGATGTCCTGAATGTGCGGAATGGGATAGCGGTCGGGGACGGTAGCGTTATTAAGAGCGCGATAGTCGCCACATGGACGCCATTCTCCTGACTTTTTAGGCACCATGTGTAGAGGCGACGCCCACCGGCTCTTAGACGGGCGAATAATGCCTAGGTCTAGCATGTGCTCCAATTCGGAGCATGCTATTTTGAGCTTGTCGGGGGTCATGCGCCTGGCTTTTGCGAACACAGGCGGACCTTTCGTAACGATGTGATGTGTCGCGGCGTCGGTTACGGGAGGCAACGGGACGGCAGGACGGAAGGCCTGCGGAAAACTATCGAGCAGCGTTTGCCCGACGGGTGAACTAAGTTGAGTCGCGTACACGGGACTGATTGACGCGGTGTCGGTCAAAGTCCCAATGACTGCGAGGTTCGTAAGACGGTCGACTAGACGGTGTCGCTTAACGTCGACGAGTAGGTCGTAATGACGTAGGAAGTCGAGACCAAGGATAGGCGTTTGAACATCGGCAACGAGGAATATCCATTTGAAAGCGCGTCAAAGGCTGAGATTTAGCGTGCGCGAGCGTTGACCATATACGCGGATGATGGTCCCGTTAGCTGCGCGCAATCTGCGCGCGTCTGTAGAAGCTACCACCACGGGGTCTAAACAAATGGGTTTAGCTCGCCTCGTACTCAAAGTAGAACAATTTACTCACCAGGAATAATGTAGTTACATGGATCCACTGTTCCACAACCGGAGACTGACAATTCTGGCGTGATTACATTCACTGCCTTAAACATTCCGATTCTCCAGTCACCTGGAGCTTTTCTGATGTCATTTCACGGACAGCACTGCGCGCGCATAAGCGGCTTTTCCGATGATTTTTCCTGGAGCTCTCACTTGGTTATGGAGACAATTACACTTACATTTGAAGGAAATACTTGTCCACTTCGCGGAGAATAGCATTTATTCCTGTTTTGGACATATTCAGACACAAGAAACAACTGCACTCACCGTCCCTATGACAAGTCCAGCATGGATAGCTGGACACGGGTTGCGAGCCGGACAACATAATAGAAAAAGCCGGCCTCTATTAACAATATGTTTACTCACCCGCATCATTATCATTCGACTCTGCGACTCTTTTACATCATTGACTGGCTTCAACGACTATTGCCGGTTCAGTACTAAGCCATTTGGCCAACCAACGAAAAATTTTGGCTGTCAACCGACTGCGAATAATAGAGTGCAAAATCGGTCTATACGATGTATAGCCGACTAGCACTACAGTTCAACGGAAAATACGACAGTGTTCCAGGACGTGGTGGGTTTTCGCCTGGCAAGCGTTCTCCCTATAAAAAGCCACAAATGTCCGCTTAACAACACTGCAACGTGGCGGATGTGACTCGCCACAAAATAAAGTCACTGCTATACATTTCACACTGACGCAGTCCTCAGCCTCCAACATCGAACCTGTGCAACTGATTTTACTATGAAGAATGCTTCAGTGGAGTACCGATCATCCCGGCTTCGTAATGGTCATTGGTTGCACTAAACCTTGTTCGGGCTCCTGTGCTCATGGATCACTACATGTCAAATTTACCCCCCACTTGTATCTTGACGCAACAGTTTTTGCGCGCCACGGCGCCATTATGATCCTTGGTCTGACTATTACCTGACAATATGCTCGCTCTTATGGACTACATCTTTTCGTTTGTTCCTTTCATTGTAACGAAATGTTTTAATATTCCAAAGAAGCTGTGCTTGTATGCATATTTGATCATGCCTTTTAGAGGTGTGTCTCGTTTTACAGGGAATATACTATTTATTTATTTATTTATTTATTTATTTAGTCACCTTTTCGGTCGGGTCATTTGGATCACGCGGGAGAACGCTGACTTCTGCGCCAGTATCGACGAGATAGCGAACTCCGGTTCTACGATCGGTGACGAAGAAAAGGCGACTGCGTTGACCAGCTACGTCCGTCGCCCCTACGTGCTGGTCCGCCCGTTTCCCTGCTGCTGTCGTTTGAAGGAACAGGGCGGGCGACATGATTTAGCTTGCTGGCCGAAGCGTTCGTGGTACCAGCAGTAACCGTTTCTATTCGGTGATCGCGAAGCAGACTTCGAACGTGAACGCGAACGGCTCCTAGAGCATTTACAGCGGTTATGTCTGGAGGCCGAAAAGTCTGCGAATTGTCGAGGCAACGTTGCCATCTGGGATTTAAGCGTAGCGATATCGTTGTCCGGTTTCGTGTGGACCTGCGAAACCTGGCCGTACGACTCCCAAATTCGGTCGGCTGTATCGGCCAGTTTGGGTAAAGGTGCATCCTCACTAGCGCAGAGGATGTGTAGCATCTCGCGCATAAGTCGTTGCAACCACATTTCCCGAAGAAAAGAATCATCTATCGAAGTGGGTTTAGCTAGGCTCTGCATTTTTCGAAGCAGCTGAGAAGGCTTAAGATCGCCAAGATCGGTTTCGTTCAGGAGTTTCGTAATTCGTTGTCGATCGGATAAGCCTGTTCTTCTCAGAACAGCTGTCTTGACTGCATCGTAAGTCTTTCGGTCGTCAGGAAGATCTAGAATGTCATCAATGTCATCGATGACATTTAGCGGAAGCGCGGAAACGACAAGGTGGAACTTGGTCTTTTCGGACCTAATACCACGCAAAGAAAATTGCGATTCTAGCTGACCAAACCAAGACTTAGGATTAGTCTCGCGAAAAGGTGCGATAGGAAGCGTAACTGTGCCGATCTGAACGTCAGAATCTACACGATCAGTTTCCATAGCGAGCAAAATAGCGAGCCAGCAAGATTAAATCGGAAAATGAAAAGTGAAAATCAGACGGGTTAGCGAAAAAATGTGGCCAAATCTGAAAAGAAAGGTTAGCGAAAACTCACCGGATAATGACCAAAATTCGGGGTCACCAATAAAGCGCGAAGCGGGATCGGTACGCTTTAGAACAAATACGCGGATATAAGGCCAACCTCCGGTGAGTGGAGAACACCAAAGGTAACGCTAGGAAAAATTTATTAAGTGGGCGAAAGGCTATCTAGTGCTAAAAATAAGGCACCGAAAGATAGCTAGCTAGGGAAAGGTGTGGTCGCGTGCGCGGAGAGCAAAGATGGCCGCGGAGCCGAGGAGCGTCGCGCCGTTCGAAGGCGGATGCTATGTTGACTCAAACAAACGCGAGCAACGTTCAAACAGGCGAGCGGCTATTTTGCTATGTACATCGAGAAAATATAATTTTGTGATTTTGTAATATTTTACGCAGCATGCGGCAGCCAAACAGGGGAATCTCCAGGTCACTACACGTTCTCATGAAATTATTGTTACGTTTACTTATGCGCTTATGCTTTGATGTTATTCTTAGAGAAACGTCTGTAGTTTATTCCAAAAATTTCCCATCTGCTGTTTCCTATTAATCCCTCGCTTTCGATACCGTACACGATCACACGACCCAATTTCGGCTGATTTTCGTTCCATGAATTGGACACTTCGGCTCGGTCTGTGACCTTGCGGTGGTCTTAAGGTAAGCGGAGCGTTGTATCTCAAGTAGAGACCGTTGATTCTTTCTTTACCTTCACGTTTGGTTTACTGTGCTCTCTTACTAAATGGTTGTGATACGAGCATCCATCAACGTGGCCGGCACAGCGGGGACTGTTAGTGCAGGACACGTGGGCATTGTTCGGTTGACCATGTGAATCGTGTGTGTTAATTTGGCTCTCCTTTGGCACACTAAGGCACCGGTTTCCCTGTTGGATCAACGACGTTTTCCAAGGTGGAACATTAGCGGGATTTTCCTACTTTTCCGAGCCCACTTGAACTTTGGGATAATCAGAATCCCGCTATTAGTGGAATAAGATCAAATCTGTTAAATCCATCGTAAAGAAATCAAAACTTGGCACGGAGTTAACTGTCTTCAAGTTGGCGTCGAACTGGAACGATAGGAGAATCACGTGAGTGCTCCATCAGTTCGACTCGGGGTCAACATTGGAAATGGTTTAAAGAAAGGGGACTTCGGGTCCGTTGTGACGTCACTCTGTCTACCAGAGTAGCGAACGAATGGAACAATCTACCTGTGTATGTCGTTGATGCGCAGCCGGAGGAATGTATCAAACAACGATTAGATTCTTACCTGTTGAGTAAACTCGGATCTGGATGCTTCTTGTGTCAATGCAACGGTTCCATTGGTCCTGACTTGCAATGTTCACCTTGATCCCTGTGACGAACGTGAGGCGATGGAGCTGACAAAGGATTTTTCCTTTTGCTCTCTACATTCCAATAATCCAATGATCATGAGTGGATCATTGAGCCATGAATTGATGAGGTGCACAGAGATATTGATGGATCTAAAGCGGAACACCCGTATCACACCCTGGCCAACCAGTTAATGCCCACGTTTCCTGCCCTAGCGGTTCCTGAAATGGCAATCATTCAAGACCGCTAATGCAGCCCTGATGCCCTGGTAGCAAACCTCCACTTTCTGCCCTGATTAATACACTTAAACGTATGGGCTAAACTGGACAGGAACGTGGCCCGGAACACATTTGATTTTGTCCACTTTAATTTTCAAGAACGGATCATTGGATGATAGAGAGCAGAAGGAAGATCCTTTGTCAGCTCCTTCACTTCCCGATCATTGCAGAGTTGGCGTGGGTCATTGCGGCAGAAGGTTCCGCAGAGGATTACTGTAGCTGTCTTAGGCACAGCAGAATCCCAGCGCGTTCAGGTGGGAATCTAACAGTTGTTTGAAACGTTCCTCTGTCTCAGCATCAACAACAGGATCCGGCAACCGGTTCCAATCATTCACCACGCGAGTTGATAAGGCCAAATTGAGCCGCACACGGAGATTCCTCCGTTTGAACAGTTTCATGCGGTGGCCTCGTGTCGAACTCTCAGTGTTGAGTTGGAAGAAGTCCTGTAACTTGCAACCCAGTTCTCCTCTGAGAATATGTCAAGTGAATATCAAATCTCCTCGGTGACGACTGTAACATAGAGAGAACAAGTTCAGTCGGTGTGGATACGACAGGTCTCGCAAATCAGGGGCGGATTTGGATCCACGGCGTTCAACCTTCTCTATCATATCACATTCGGATTTAGTGAGAGGGTAGGCAGTGGGTAGCCCGTATTCTAAAATCGGGCGTACATGCGAGCCAGAGAAGAGTCGGGAAAGTCCCCGGGGTCAGGAGAGAGAACCATCTACGTATAGAATGGAATATCCTGTAGGCCGTGGCGACCCTCTTCTGGGTGTCTTGAATAGATTTGAGGTCAGATGACACTATCACTCCAAGATCCCTCTCTTGGGTTGCGCTTTTGAGCAAGGAACCACCAACGTGGTAAGTTCCAAATAGGTTTGATGAGCCAACGGGGCAACTGCCACTTACTCGACCAGTCATGGAGTAGATCGAGCGTAGATTGTAATCTGTTGGCGTCTTCAAGGCTGGATACTTCCATCCATAGCTTTAGGTCGTCAGCGTAGATTAGGCAATCCGTCTAAAGAGTGGATGGTAAGTCGTGGATGAATATATTGTAAAGTACGGAACCGAGGACAGAGCCCTGTGGGACCCCACTCGTCATGAGAACAGGAGCAGAAAATGTGTCATTCACCTACACTTGCATTGAGCGGTCGTTTAGGAAGTCGGAGATCCAAGACAGGGGGTTCCCAGAAATACCGATTCCTTGGAGCTTAAACAGGAGCCGTTCATGCGTGACTTTGTCAAAAGCTTTGCTGAAGTCAACGAACACAACATCCAAGCGTTTGCCGAAGTCTAGCGACCTTGCTTAGGTATCCTTAGCAACGAGCAAGTTCGAGGTACAGGAGCGTACTTTTCGGAACCCATGCTGGGCATAAGAAATGACATTCTGTCCCTCAAGATGAAGAGTAACAGCTTGTTTTAAGATCCGTTCCATAACTTTACACACTATTGACGTCAAACAGATTGGACGATAATTGGCCGGATCATGTCGACTTCCTCTTTTGTAAATGGGTTTGACGATACCCATTTTCCAAGCTGAAGGAAGACGGCCAGCTTCTAGTGAGCGACGAAAGACTTGACATATGGGTGAAGCTATGTACTCCGCCACAGTCCTGAGGAGCAAAGGATGCAATCCATCAGGGCCGGGTGAGCTATACGAATCTAACTGAAGAAGAAGTTTCATCACAGAATCAGTGTTAATATCTACTTGGGCCAACGAAGATGGAAAGGTGGATACGGCTGTCGCTAAATGGTGTTTCTTTCGCGTAAACAGAAGCCTATTGTTTAGCCAAGTGACTAGCTTTCTCAGCGTCCTCGTAAAGTAAAGCTTGATGATCACAGGAACACAGCAGGGATGCCATTACCAGCTCTAGTGCTTCTATTCAAATAAGAGTAGAGCATTTTAGGTGCGATTCTGGAGTGTTTTGCCAAGTATGGTTCGTATTGTTGGCGTTTCTGGCGCTTCATCGCGACACAAACATTTCTGACAGTCTTGTAGTGAGAGAAGTCGAGTTCTGAATGAGATTGCCTAAAGCGGTCCCATAATTTGCGCCTTCTATTCATAGTTGACCTCAACTCTCGATCCATCCAAGGTGGACCTCTAGCGAAGGGCTTTCGATGGGAGGAAGGAACGACCTGTTCAATTAACAACGTCATTTTGGAGAGTACAGGATTCCACGCGTCGTTGAGGTGAATGTGTTCAGGGATACCCCACTCCGTAGCGCTTGCGGCCGTTTTCAGACGGAGTGGGTCGGCACGCCAAAAATTCCGACGGTGACCACCGTGGTTATGGATCGTGAGACGGCGAGTCCTGTGGAATGAAACAACGCAATGATCGCTCTTGCCTATGGGTTGAAGAGCGGTTAGGTTCGTGACATCTGAATCTGCCGGGGAGAGCACGAGATCTAGGATGTGCGGGGTCTGGTCTGGGTAATTACGAGTAGGCGTCAAGACTTGTTGAACGAGGCTGCAGTCGAAAGCGGTTTTAAGCGATGTGGCATCGAAGGGGTCAGATCGGCGATCACAAAGAAGTAGGTCCCAATCGATATCCGGTGCCTTGAAATCCCCCAAGATTAAACAGTCTTTGTGCCTACCATAGATTCTTATCGAGCCCAACAAGCGCGCTCCGGGACCCGATGGCGCTCTGTAGACGACACCGACCAAAAGAGATCTGCATTCGTCATGAACACGGCACCACAGGGCTTCGAAATTATCATCCTGGTCACTGATAGCTTCAACTAAATGTGCTTTGAGATCTGTCTTCCAGTAGAGAATTACTCCACCACCTGACCTCAACCCGTGGCGATCGGACGGGGAGTGGTGATATCCAGGGATAGACACTTCCGAGTCCGTGATATCAGAGAATAGCCAGGTTTCGGTGATGGGCATCAGGTCTGGACGAGTCTCCGAAGTAAGTAACTGAATTTCATCCAGTTTATTCCTTAGACTGCGTACATTGGCAGATAGCACGCGTAGTCCGTTTTTATACTTTACTGTCTGGGGGTGACAAGAATCGGCCTCCAGCGCACTCTTGTGCTCTTCCAAACTACGCAAAAATCCACGATATGTAGGTCGGTTTCACCACTCGCCCGGCGCGTTCGGAGCTCCTCTATAGCCTTCTTCACTTTAATTCGGTCCTCGGGAGAGGTCTCGTAACACGTAGAAAGGTTCATCTTTGAGACGTGGAATCCGTCAAAGGATGCGCACGCACTCTTCTTTATTTCCGCATACAATCTTGAGGGGTCGAACCTTGGAAGAATTTTCCTGCTTCTTACCGAGACGGAAGGCAGAGACAATGTTTATTCCGTGTTCGCCTGCATCAAACAGTAGAGAAGTCATCCGCTCGAGCGGTATTTGATCATCTAACATTCGCTCCGCCGAGGTAGCCTTGTCCGATTTCGCCGCGTTCACGATGATGAGATAACGGTCACCAGATAGCTGCATGCGCTCTGGAATTGGTGGCTTACGGGATGATGGATTTTCCTTTATCACTTTTTTCAGCTCAGAAATTCTGTTGAGAATTATCTTCATTTGTGACTGGGAAGATGGAAGCTCAGGTTTATTCAAAGACTTAGTCTTAGCCTTGGTGGCACATGTGGCTGGACCTTGGCCACACGAGGCCAAGGTCGCTTTCTCTCTCACTACGTCCGCATATGACTTCGTGGTAGGCTCAACAGGCCGGATGTGTATCAATGGGTCCGAATGAGAAGTAGACGGGACGGGGGTGGCCGCGACTTTTGGAGCGTCGCTGGAAGATGTGTTGCTCCGCTTCCTAGTACGCCTAGCAGAAGGAGCGGAAGAACGTCTTTCAGGATGTTGATGTGGCGGAAGTCTTGCCAACGCAGCAGCATCGATGCAATATCGACAAGTCCATAGGAAACCCTTGTGCTCAGCATAGGTCTTGAAGAGCGGTTCAGTAACTTGCGAGCAACGCTTTTGGTCACATGCCCAGAGTTTGCAGGCAATGCACTGGATACCCTTAGTCACCACTTCCACACAATACAAACATTGTGAGTTAGACATAATCACTTGATCTCAGAGAAACGTTGACAGC